GTATCTTGAGAATTGAGGTTATGTTGATATAAATAATAGCCTGTGTAGTCGACCATGCTCATGAGGTAGTATGAGAAGATGGTGTTAGAATCAAGTATGTTTGATAGATGGAATAACTATCCTTGATAGAGTGTAAGATGTTTTGAGGAAATTTATGCGTAATCAATAAGCCTTCGAGCTTTGAAGTATTTGATGAAAATGTATTTATAGTCGATTATTCTATAAATTGTTGTCTATCCTTGACAATGTAATTGACGTGTTGCGTCACTTGTGTCGACTGTTTGAGGGGCTGTACGGTGTTCGAAGTGTTAGTTCGACAGAGCATCGTACTGTTTTCGTATCGATTTTTTGAAGGGCTATATGGTGTTCGAAGTGTTAGTTCGAGAGAGCGTACTCATACCCAGTCGATTCTTTAAAGACAGTTTTCTGAAGCGTGATTTTGAGCGCGTGTGATTACCTTATTTAATAATATAAGGAGAAGTACCTTGTAAACTGCCGACAAGGTATGTTGATTTACTGCGTGGCTGGTGTGCCCCTTTTGATTACGTTTCCAATTGGCTTCACTGTAAAATCACTACCTGATTCTGCTAATTCTTTTTGATAATACATGTGTATCTTTAAGTTGGTTGCCGAACATGCGGCCACGTGTCGTCGTCACAGTATATACTAAAACACTGAGTGTAATAACAGTTAAGTGAACGAGAGATAGAATTACAATGAGCTTATAAGCCTTTTGAATACGTGCACGAACCGAATGTTGAAAATACCGACCGTTCCATGGCGGTCCTGCTGAGAGCAGACCGAGACCCGTGCCATGGCTTCTACTAGTAGAGGGTTAGATGGGTTCGCTGCGGTCGGGTCATGGCACGATGTTAGCAGCAAGCGCAGTTCAGTAAGAGATAGCTTCAGCAAGGGTGGTTCAGCAAGAGAGAGAGAGAGAGAGACACGTCGCGTGATTGCCTTATATATCTACGCGGCGGCTCACTTAGCTAGCAACAAAGCATCGTCGTTGCTGCACTGAGATATTACATGAGACGCAGAAAGAAAAATCTAGATGTTTCGAGAATTCGACGAAAGAAAAAATAAGGCGTAATAACGATAGAAACTTTCGGGTGATGTTATTACCCGAAGACAATATAAACATTACGGGCCATTTGAAACCAAAACATAACAAGTATACGAAAATTCTCGTCCAAGTGTTTACAGAAATCTGAAATCTAAAAGGCCATCAATGCCGACAAACGGCGATGTTGAAACTGGCTTCAATCTCGAACATAATCAGTACATCAAAATATTTTTTTAATTATCAGTGATAGCGTTATATGTCCAAAATAATGCAGATGAATGTATTAAAAATGTATCTGAACAAGATTATTAAAATCTGATAAGTTTATTCTCATATTTTATAATACTAATGTTTCATAAACAATAGATGAATTAGAATAAATATAATAATTAGTAAAATAGTTGCCTATGGATTTCTAATCATTCCATACCTATATATACTACACATCTGTAATTTTATAAATCTATTAATACCCAACCTATCTCTAATCATTTATTTTAAGTACGTATACTCCAATTACAAACTAATACAAGGTCCAAGATTATATCTAAATTATCTTATTTCTTATTTAACTTATTATATAATACAAATATGTGATACATATTGATGTTATATACGATCTGATGGTCGAAGGACCAAGATGCTTGGATTAAGCTATGACCACCAATTTACTGGTGAGAGAAAAGTGAGGATAAGTGAAAGGAGTAGCGGTTTTCTGCAGTAAGTAACAGGTCTGTTTTTCGTGCTGTTGTTGCGTAATGATGCTGAAATAGTATGTGGTTGCACCGCAAGACGGATTTTTGTAATGGTGCTGCAATAGTATGTAGTTGCACCGCAAGGCCGACTCACGTAATGATACTGCAATAGTGTGCGTGTGGTGATCGCGGTAGTGATTACTTGCGAATGCCTTGTGTGCTTAGCCTTCTGGTTGACGTTGGAGACAGAGAGAGTGCTCGCTCAAGATGCGTGAGATTCCTTTAATCTGTAAAACTGGTGATTCCTGCAATGTTCCTTCAGCACTTTCTCCTAACAGGCGTGGCTTGAATGCTTGCACAATCGATAGCGAGTTCTCTCTTTAGCGGATTAGATGATAGTAGCCCGTTGAATACGCACACTAAGCGTGGCGGCTTTGCTGATGGAGAGCGACTGTTTCCTGATTATTCTGCTAAGACAGACGTGTTCCGTGTCATGGCGTCTCCACTAAGAGAGAGTGAGGCTTGTCGCGTGCTTGCTTTATATATTCACGCAACAGTTTAGGTAGATGGCAACAATGAATAGATGTTGTTATGTAGAGACTAGATTAGCTTGCAGACGTTCGATAATATAGGTTTAGCAGTTTCGAGAACTCCGAGGAAGCAAAGCTTTAGAAGGAAGGAGAATTCCAATCGACGTTGCTATGCGGAGACCAAATAAACATTCTAGGACGTTCGAAATCAAAGTTTTAGAATATTCGAGAATTTTTGGAATCAAATGTTTACAAAAATTCCGAGAGGCAAAGGTCTTGAGAAGTGCTCCAATCCTGAACAATTACTAATTAACTCAAATTTAGTATTAAAATAATAAAGGATACCCGACTTTTGAATTAATATTAAGCTACTTTATAATTAATAATAGTAATGGTTTATTTTTAATAAATTATTTATTGTAAAACAATTATATTCGATCAATTTTCAATGTATTATATATAGTGTTAAAAATTGTCTTAATACAATTAAAATTGATATAAAATAATATTTTGTACAATACCACATTAAAATTCTTTATTTTTAAATCTATGAAAAAACAAAATACAAAACTAACTATGGAAGAATAACGAAAAAGTTATAGTATCAATTTATCAATATTTGTTTGAGTATGAATGAGAAAAAATAATGTTTGAATATTTATTTCTTTATCATTCTTGCTTACACAATAAAAAAGATTGTATTTTTTATTCATTCCAAAGTCATTTACGATATAATAATTGTATTTTATGTGTATTTAAATTATATTAATTTAAAAAATTGTATAAAAAGATTATTAACAAAAGTTTATATGCATCTATGCACTTAACAGCGTAATACAATATAGGTACATTATAGTATCGAACTTGGTACAAAAATGTATTTATAAAATATCTAGAATTATGTAAAAGCCAATTAATACAATAAAAAATATTAAAATTGACTAGAAAAATTTGGATTAGTTATTAGGACATACGTAGTATAATATCAATTGTCTATCTTAAGAAAGAAAAAATAGTTATAGTACAGTATTATATGGCATTATTGAATATTTGCATGAGAAAAGCAATAGAAATTGGTAAATTGTTTTATAAAAAAAGCATTGTAACAGATGAAAATATCGAAGATGAAAATAATACATAGTTCAAAGCTGTTAATACATTGTATTGTAGGGAAGATATCTAAATGTTAGGGGTCTTATAAAAGTATTCTGTTCTCAACAGAAACTATATTTACGAATAACTATTTGTATATATATTTATATAATTTTAACACTATGAATTTTAGTTTTCATATCATATTGAGAATTTAGAGGAATTTTGTGCGCACTATGATATTGAATCTTATGCATCTATTATATATGCAATTCATGTCTAAGCTTATAAGGTTTGAATACACTTACATGCATTTATGGAGAAAATATATATTGAAGTTAATTATATACCCAAAGATTCCTAAATTAAATCTACATATTATAAACTTGAAAATTTATAAATGATAAAGTATTGCATATACCAATATTTAATTAGAATTTTACCTTACATATAGTAAAATAAAACTACCATATAATAAAATAAAACTAAGTTAGAAACAAAAGCAAACAAACTCGACTGCATATAATATTAAAGTAATTTTAAATTATTTTATTCTTAATATGTCTAACAAATATAACAATTTCAATTAATATTTTTAAGATATAACTAATATTTTTTTATTGACTAAATTAATTTTATTTATAATAATTTATATTTAAATAAGTTATAAAAAAGTAATAAAAATATACCAATATTTTATAAATCATAAGATAAATATTATACGAGATAAAAATGTGTTTTTTTGTATTTGCTGTACTTTAAACATTAGTAAATATTGTAAAATTAAATAAGAAAAAGTATTAACGTTAAAATAAAAATATATAAATAAATAAACGAGTAATTATATAATTTTTATTTAATCTGAATTATCAATATAAATTAAGCAAGTATGAAAAATATGCTTTTATTTTAAATTATTGTAAGTTAATTTCGCTGTACATAGAAAAAACAAATATATATATATGGAAACAAATCGTATTGATACGTAATAAAAATTATCTGTTTAAATACAAGAGTTAACTATACGTTACAGTTTGTATTTAAAAATTTAATTGTTAAAATTCGTTCGTTCAATAAATTTTAAATATAATATAGTATATTTATAAAATTAAAAAGTAAAAAAATTAAATATCCTTCAAATTGTTAATAATTGGCTGATAACAATGTAAAATTTTACATTGATATTACAAATATTTGCAGACACTAAAATTACAAACCTAGACTATGCACGTTACATTTAAATGTACTTTTGCATTTGCTCAGTCACTCAAAAACTACAATTTTTCATTCATAAATTTATTGGAAAATAAAACGTTCTACTACTATTTTTGCAAGTTGTAGATGAATAATTATTTAATATTTATTATTTATACGTATCGTAATCAAAATTATTCAGTCTTCAATATATACACCATAGCTTTTATATATTTTATGTATACCATATATTTAAAAAATGCTCGTTAATCAATGGTAATGTAACACATGCAACTGCGCAAACTCCCAAAAAGACATAAATATCACGTTTATACATTGCTAATTGCTTTTAGTTATTTTATATATTGTCTAAGTATAACCTAATAAAGTTAAGTGAATAAAATAAATAATTTTAAGTATAATATGGTTTATAAAAAAGAAAAAAAAGTAAAAATTTATAAAACAAAGAAAAAAAATACATTAGAAAGTAAAGTAATTAAAGATCTTCAAGCTATGTATGATAAAGTAAGTTTAAAATAAAAAGCTTTTTTACAATTTAATAATCAAAAATATAAATTAAAAATTAGATTGATGAAATAAAACTGCAAAAATTTGTTGATTTACCATTATCAATCAAAACAAGCAAAGGATTAAGAGAAAGTGAATATATTACTCTTACTGATATTCAAAAACAAAGTATAGGTTTAGCATTAAAAGGAAATGATATTTTAGGTGCTGCTAAGACTGGTAGTGGAAAAACTTTAGCATTTCTTATACCAGTATGTTTTTGTATTAACTTAATTTTTTGTAATTATAAATATAATTATTACTTTTTTGTATACTAAGGTTTTAGAAATTTTATATTGCCATCAATGGACACAACTTGATGGAATTGGTGCATTAATTATAACTCCAACTAGAGAGCTTGCTTATCAAATATATGAAATGCTTAGAAAGGTAGGAAGATATCATAATATGTCTGCTGGGTTGATTATTGGAGGTAAAGATTTATATTTTGAAAAGAAAAGAATGGATCAGTGTAATATTATAATATGTACTCCTGGTCGTTTATTACAACATATGGATGAAAATCCATTATTTGACTGTATAAATATGAAAGTAAGTTCAACATTATATTATATATTCATAATTCTAATAAAATATCTAATAATATCCAAATTAATTAAATACAGATTTTAGTTTTGGATGAAGCTGATCGATGTTTAGATATGGGATTTGAAAAAACAATGAATTCTATCATTGAAAATTTACCACCAGTTCGTCAAACATTGTTATTTTCTGCTACTCAAACAAAGTAATTTTATAAGATATTCAATTTTTTAAATAAATGTTTAAAAGGGAAATTATGCTTTATTTTTTATTACTTTGATATTGTAAATATTTAACTATTTTATATTACTTCTTATTAGATCGATACAAGATTTAGCCAGGCTTAGTTTAAAAAATCCAATTTATGTATCTGTTCATGAACATGCAATACATACAACACCAGAGGGTCTTCAGCAAAATTATATCGTGTGTAAATTAGAAGATAAAATATCAGTGTTGTGGTCTTTTATTCGTAATCATCTTAATAAAAAAATTATAATTTTTTTTTCAAGTTGCAAACAGGTATGTAATTTTAAATAAATAGATGTAATATTAAACATAATATCAATAATTTTCAAGAATAAAAATGAAAATGATATCCATAAATTGAATATATTTGTTCTAATATTTTTTTCTATACACAATAATTATGGTTTGTAACCATATTAAACTAAAATGTAGTTTTTAGAATTATTTTATGCAAATATATGCATATTTAAAAATGTTAAAAAAAATATTTATGAATTTAGGTTAAATATATCTTTGAAGTATTTTGTCGTATGAGACCTGGCATCAGCCTTTTATCACTATATGGAACATTGCATCAACTCAAAAGAATGAATATTTATGAATCCTTTTGTAAAAAAAACTATGCAGTTTTATTTGCCACTGATATTGCTGCAAGAGGCTTAGGTAAGATTAAAATAATGCTTAAATTTATTATAAGATTAAAATAATATTTAAAATATTTTTATAATGTAATAATATAGAATATTAGATTTTCCAGCTGTTAATTGGGTTGTACAAATGGATTGTCCAGAAAATATAAATAATTATATTCATAGAGTAGGACGAACTGCTAGATTTCGAAGTGGAGGGGAATCTTTATTAGTTCTTTTACCTAGTGAAGAGAGCATAGTACATAATCTAAAAGAACAAAAAATTCCTATTAATAAAATAAAGTTTGTAATTTTAGTTTTGTTTTTAATTAAAGTCATTCAAAATATAACTAAAATGTAATATAAGTTTTTTAGCATAAAATATATATAAATTTATATAAATGCAAGCGCAAAATCATTCACGTATATATATATATACATGTATAATGAGTCAATTTTTACTTACAGAATTAATTTAAAACGATTATACTCTCCACATAGAAAATTGGAAGCTTTACTTGTTCAAGATATAGCACTTAAAGAAAGTGCCCAACGAGCTTTTGTTGCTTATGTGAAGTCAGTCTTCTTGATGAAAGACAAAAATATATTCAATGTTCAAGCATTAAATACAGATGCATTTGCTAGGTACTTATAGTTATTTATGTATAAAAATTTAAATATAAATATTATAAATATATATTAATACACTTTAATTACAGGTAACTTTTTTGTACTACTTGGATAAATTTAAAGTATTTCAATTTTTTATTTAATGCCAGCAAATACATATTTAAGTTTATTTAAAAATTTTTGCAGATCGCTAGGCTTAGCCATTCCTCCAAGAATTCGTTTTTTACAAAAACAAAAACAAAACCTTTTAAAGCAAAACATAAAGAATGAAACTAAATTAGAAATAAATAAATATTTAAACAATAATCCAACTTATGAAAAAAAAGAAAATGAAGAAATCCCAATTGTAGAAGAAAATATAAATAAAAACATTAAAAATCATTTTTCAAATAGTAAGAAAATTGAACTAATTTATCTTAAGGACCGCAATTTTAATTATTAGAATGTTATTAATATATATTCTTTGTTCTAGATTTAAATACCAATAACAATGTTGATGATATTTTAACTATAAAAAGAAGAGATATCGATATCGATGTTTCATTAGAAAAGACTAAAAATGATAATGAAGTATTTGAGTTAAAATATAAAAAAACAATTACAAAAGCTGCTTTAGCAAAGAAAATTCTTAAAAAAAAAATTGTACCAAATAAGAAAATTAATTTTGATGAGGAAGGACAGGTATTTTTATTATATTTAATTTTAGTATTAAGTTACTAACATTTTAATCTTACTTAGGAAGTAATTGATCAAATAAAATCAAAAGTTTCAAACTTAGCTAAGCAATATGAGAATGAAGAATTTTCTGGTATAAACATAGAAATTGCCAAACAAGTTTTGAAAGATGAAGATCATTTTGATAAACAACTATTTAGTAAAAAAATTAAAAACAAGCATAAAGAAGAAAAACAAAAATTGAAAGCACATAAGGTGAAGAAAGAATCTGACTTCAATGAAATCATAGAAAGTGATCATTCGTATGAATCTGATTTATCATGGTTGCCAGATCCAGATAAAATTTATGGAAAACTTAAAAAATTTGATAAAGATAATATGATTTGTTTTGATGAAAAGGTTAATAATTTAAAGAACAGTGAAGATAAAATTAATCGGTAAATTAATTTCCTTTTTAAAAGAAAAATATTTTCATAATAAATTTATGAATTGAACAAATAATCCATCACTGAACAAATTCATTTATAAATCTTATATATTTTATTTATACGTTTATAATTTAATTTACTTTCAAATTTTTATTATTGTAGACCAACAAAAAACAAATTAATAATACAAGATGTGCATAAAATGAAAAAAAGGAAACATTCACTTTCAAGTTCAAATAATAGCTATTTAAAAGCAGATGAAGAATTTTCTTTACAATTATTACAAAGATAAAGATTTTATTTATATGAAATATTTGTTTTAAATGTTTATTACGTAAAATAAAAATAGAATATTTATTTATAAGTTTATTTATTTATTTATAATATATACTGGCATATATATATTATTGAAATATCATTAAAATTTTAATATTTGGTGATATAATAATCATAATTTTATAAGATTTTAGTAAAGTTTAGTAAGGATGGTACAAATGAAGATACTGTAATTATTCATAATTCCTTGATATATATCCTTGTGTAATCTAGTTGAAATAATAATTCTTTTGACAGCCATTTCTTTTTGCTTCTATTAAAACTAGATTTATTGGCTCAAGTAATAAACTCAAACACTATAGTGACAATACATACTCAACAGCGATGTAAGTGCCTAATTAGTTGTTTTTATTTTGTTATTCTTATTTGATAAAAAATCAGCTTTTCGTCAAGTAAAAGAAATCATTTAAAAATGTATAGTTGAAAAATGAAAAACTGACTTTCACAATTGTCATAATGTGTAATAATAAAATTGTGTCATGTGTTACGTTGATATATTCTTCAAAAATGAAAGTAACATAGCAAAAATATTTTTACTTTAATATATCTACATGTGATAAGATATAGTATTTGCACTGCTTTTATTTCCAGAAGTATAGAGCTAAATGAGATTTTGATTTTGTTAAAAAAATTAATTATGATGGTGAGTTGTTAAAAAAATGCTATAGATCTGTATCTAATCATACTACTACTGTGTTGATTAATTGAATTATCAAATTAACCTTGTTATATTGTTTGTGGAGCAAAAATTCATAGAATTGATCTCTATTTTTGCAATATTAAACTAATCTATATTTATAATATATCATTTGAGATGCTTTAAAAAGTTACTCCAGTTTTCCTTGATAGTAATATGTGATTAATTTTTCATTATTAATTTATTTATGTTTAATTTTTTCTTAAATTACTTAATGAATAACAATTATTATGTTATGATTTAAGACTATCCTAAATGAACTTAATTCATACTGAAACAAATTGTTAATTTATTAATGTTATTTAGTACTCTGTTTATTCTTTTTACAAACATATTTATAACTACATGATTTTTTATATATAAATTTATAAATTTGTTCTGAAATAATTCGACTTTGAAGATGCTTAAATCAATTATGATTATTTAAAAATATTAACAGTTATTGATACAATGCTCGAAAGCAGCATTTTCAGTAGAACTCATTAATAAATTTTAAATTTTTAATCCAGATTTTTAATGTTTCACAATATTTATCTGCTTCTATGAATTAAATTCTATAATTTTGTATAATTGCTAGAAGTAATATTAAATATTATTTTTTATTATATTATATATAAATAAAATTTACATCATAACAATAAATGTATAGGAATTTTTAGATCAGATGTACTTTTATTTAATTTTTTCCATGTATACTATTAGGATTACATATTATATGAATATTAATAAAATTAGAAATTTTAATATGGTATTCAAAACTTATAAAAACTGAAAGTAGAAGAAGAAAAATATTTTTCATTACTTTTGCACAGTAATTCAATAATAGAATTTTAGTCTGCAGTCGTTTTGTAGCTTCATAGAATTACCGTCTATTTAATGTTAAAATTAAAAACTACATAATCGTTAATTTTGTTTTTATAAATTTTATAAAGTTTATTGTTGCAATAATCTACTATGTTATTTAATAGTAATAAATATTTAATTTACAAATAATTTTCTTTTCTATATTTTCATTGTTTATAGTTATAAAAATAAAATTAGAAGTGTGTCGAATCAAACAATTTAAAACAATGCTTCTGAAATGTTAAATTTGTAAAAATATGACAATTTCAATGTTGATCATACCCATAAGACTATCGGATGAATTTGGAAATGAAAAGAAACTAAATATAATTCTATTAAATTACTAATAAAAAATATATTGGGTTGCAATAAAATATTAAAATTAAATGTAAAATAAGAATATCATTTACGCCCTCTATAAGAGATAATTTATGTTTAAATCAAAGGTGACAAAGAAATAACGAAAGTAATAACAGATTTCAGAACTATTGAGATATTTGTTAGTGGTATATAATTGGTAATGGATGATTATTGCTAAAAAAAAGTTTAATAGATATTGTCAAATAGAAATTATTCCAATTATTATATAATATCACATAATTTTATTAACATTAGTCATTTAATCATTTTTAATATTATTTTAATTATAACATTTAAAATGGTAAATAAAAATATATTCAGATATATTTATCGAAAAGGTATTGTATCTCGATTGTACCTTCGTTATCTTTCTTCGCAATCTAGCTTTGAAATACAACATAAAACTCCAACAATTAAAAAAGTTATGCCTATTCCTAAGGCTCATTATGGTGGGCGTCACACTGTTACTCTTTTACCTGGTGCTGGTATTGGGCCCGAACTTATGGATTATGTAAAAGAGGTAATATTTTATACTAAAATGTATTAGCTAAGAATTTATTTAAAATAATAATATTACTATTACTAAATAATAAATATTTTTTCTATATTCAAATTAATATTAATTAATAAATTAATAATAAACAATATTCTAAAATATTTAATACTTATTTACTAAAATAAAATATTAATCTTTACTAAGAAATTAAATTTAAAATCAATTTTACAAGTAAATAAATTTTTTTTATAAAGTAAAATTCAATACATTACAAGATGTATTAAAAGAAGAATTAAAAAACAAATATTTTACTATTTTGGTTCATATTCAATTATTTTAATATATCTTATTTGAAAACAATAAAAAACTAAATATTAATGTTATAATTCCATATTTATTACTTATAAGAAATAAAAGTATAGAATAAATATAAATTATAAAGACTAATATAACTTTTTATATATTTATTTTAAATTAAATTAGTCATTTTAACCAATAGATTCTATATAAAATATAGATTTTAAAATTATATTATAGATCTTCAAATATGCTGGTGTACCAGTAGATTTTGAAGAAATAGATATTGATCCAAATGCAGATAATAATGATGATTTAGATTATGCCATTACCTCAATTCGTAGAAATGGTGTTGCTTTAAAAGGTAACATTGAAACTCGTAGTAAAGAAATTGGAGTATTGTCTCGTAATGTAGCATTACGCAATCAACTAGATCTTTATGTGAATGCCTTACATTGTGTTTCCTATATTGGAGTAAGTTCACGTCAGAAAAATATTGATGTTGTTATTATTAGACAAAATACAGAAGGAGAATATGCTATGCTTGAACACGAAAGTGTCAGTGGTGTTGTAGAAAGTATGAAAGTCATTACAAAATCAAATTCTGAAAGAGTTGCTCGTTATGCATTTGAATATGCTAGAAGACACAACAGAAAAAAGGTAAAAATATAAAAAGTATTTGAAAACATAGACTTAATAATTTATTTTACTATTTAAAATGTTTATGTTTAAGAAATAAAAAATACAAATGTTTTGATATATTATTATATCCTGCAATATTATTTATACTATTAAAATTCTTAGTAAACTTACAATTATTATAATTAAAATATATTTATTTCAAAAATTTATAATTTTTTTTGTCAACTACTTTTGATTAATTGTATTAATTTTTAGATTACCACAATTCATAAAGCAAATATTATGAAATTATCGGATGGTCTTTTTTTAGAAACTGCACAAAGA